GCGTTTGAACAACATTTTCCTGCAGAAGAACACAAAATTTACTTAGATCCAAATTTGTTTGTTATGCTAATATATCAAACACAGAGAATTTGTAATAAGATTCGTCGTCTGCCAAGTATTCAATTCATGTTGGTCAGCAGAAAAGCAAAAATCTTTTTAATCTATCTATTTCACTCGCTGTTTTCTTTTATTCTCTCAAAGAAAACAAAAAAAAAACCAACAGCGCACATCAATTGACGCTAATCTTGTCTTGAAAGCTATTACTCCAAAAAGTTAAATAAAAGAACAGAAAAAATGGATTTTTGTTACACGATATATTGCGCAACTAAAGTGAAATAATAAACTTTTGTTCTAATTATAATTTGGTACGAAGAAAGCTAATTCATTTTGATTAATTCGATAAGCATATCGCAAACAAAACTGTGTACTCAAACATCAACAACAATAGCAGCATCAGCAATAACGGACCGAAAGTGAAAAAAGGCAAAACTCTGTATCAGACATGTTATAATTTGTGACAGCAAATGTTAAATATCACTATGAATATTAAGCAGACGAAGTTAGTCAGAAGAAAGAAGTGATGCATAATAAGAAATTCATTGTTCAAGCAACTGTCTTGAGTCAATATTTTCTCTGCTAAATATCATACATAATGAGATAACAAAGAAAACTGCTTGTCATAAATATATTTCTTGACTTAGATCATGGTTTCATTGTCGTAGAAACTGTGAAAAATGTTTCGTTCCTTTGTTAGCTTTGGGCAAATCGCGAAAAGTTTTTGGGTAAATAAATTTCATCTAATTGAAAATGAATGTTTAAGATGACGAGCACTGACTGCCATTGTCATTCAATTCCATTAGATTTGAATGAGTTCAAAAACATTTTCCGGAAATCATATCGAGAATGTAAGTTTAAACTAAAAACTTTGAAAATAAAACTAAATTATCTCCAACTATGTTCAAGAAGTTGCTTCGTCACGGATTTATTTCCGTCATTTTGAGCAATTTTAGTTGGTCGTAAAAAAAACTTTTTTTATTACATTCCAAATGAAGACTTTTGCTCGAGTATTATTCACCTTTTACAATGGCATATTATTCCCACTTTCAGCATTGAACATTATCGTTACGTTCATTTTCTTTTGCAGTCAGAAAATAAAACGAATTCACCGAACGATTTTTTTGTTTACGAATTTGACGCAAATAAATTACAATCAGTTTCCAAAAAATGACATGACTCATTGTCAATTTCAATACTCATGTGTAATTTCGTATGTTTCAACAATGAAATAAATACATTTCAATCGAAAATAGAGAGAAAAAAATTACGCCTTAATCGATGATGTTTATTGAAATGAATATAAACATTTTCACATGGCGTACAACTCAAACCAAATCATATTATGTACAATCGATGAACATTATTCATCATCAAACATCGACATTTTTCGCGTGAACAGCAAAAACAGTTGTATTATATACGTTTGCACCACACTTGGTTGCCATAGTCTCATCGCATTTGTACGACAGTCTCGAAGCTTACCACAATCTCTCCGCATTCGCATTTGCTTTTTTTTTTAAATAGCTTTAAAACCGTATTTAACCAAAAAGAACCTTTCGTACAAACCGAGCCTTTGGCATCCATTTATTATTCAAAGTAGTGCTATCTTCAAGGCAAGAATTGTAATCCATCGATTTATTTTGGGAAAATCGAGAAAATGCCGAGTGAGTCCTTTTATGCGAAATTTTATATTGATATTTAAATGAAATTGAACTGTTGCAATTAAATAGGTATCATTGAGGGCAAAAGCAAAACGGAACAAAGCGCACGCCAAATTTTGGGGGAAATTATTAAAGTTCGTAAACAAATTGAAGAGCTGAAAGAAAGAGAAGCCCGCATTTTGAATGATGATATGATGAATAGAGAATGCACAAAACGATCATAATGTGGAATATTACGGACAATTTATTGAATTTTATATATGAATGAGCTGGAATGAAATAAAAATCTGGAACACAACGTTTTTTATACACAACCGCGTTCAAAATAATTGTTTTGGTCAACTTTTATTGGTTTTTATTCAAGACGGGTTTTCATTCTAACCCAATCATCTATGATTTCGTTTGATCGACCATTGGTTACAATGGAACAAGTAAAGTTAAACAATAAATCATGAATTCAACAAATATCCATCATCCATTCTCTGGGTCATAATGTATGGCTTTTCAATAATAATAAATGATAAAAAGAAATATATGTGTTTCTGAGTTATTTGTTGTTTTTGTTCGTAAACAGTAAAAATTATTCTGTGAAGCTGATATTTATTTGGCAAAATGATTCAAAATCAGTTGAAAATAAAATGTTTGCAGTTTTCATGTACAAAAAAAGTTGCACATACTTATTTGTTCAGTTGTAAATGACGAAAAAAGTACTTATCTTTTCGCCAAAGGTAAAATCGAAACGAAGTAGCAAATATTTTGAAACGAACAATTCGTACATTTGCTGAACAAGCAAAATGGAATTGCTTTTGGGAGTGAGAGACTGAAAACGACAACGTTGACAACAATGTGCAAGTAAATAAAAGAAAGTTGGCACAAAATCAAAATTACAACATCATTGGCATCATGGAACTGTCTGTAATCTCGGTATGTCCATGTTGACACTTGCTTCTTTTTTTTATCGCACCAACACGTTTCCGCATTGGAGAAATTGATACCGGCATTGAGTTACATCCAAAAAATAGCTAACAGAAGAGAAATAAATCGAAATTCAATGATGAATTGTAAGCATTTTGGAAATTGATTCTATTGGGTATTGAACTGAGAAGTAGAGACTGTAATCGATTACTATTCCATTTTGCACACGAACACATCAAACGATCTGTAAAGAGTCTCAAACAACATTTATAAGATGGAACAACGCTTATCACAAACAGACAACAAATTCAACAAAATCAAAGGAATGAAAGGGTACGAAAATCAGTTTAAGTCGAAATTGGAGTGAAGTGAACGCATTTTCGTTGAAGCATTTACAAATGCCACTGGCAAATAATTCAAATCGTTGGCCATTTGCATTTTCAATTTACTATTTGAACTCTTAAAAATTGTTTTCGGTAACTATCGTGCGAATGCAAATGGTTACAATAATTCTATGCAGAAAGACAATTCACGGAATGCGATTCAATTAAATCAAAATTTTTTCGGATGATGGAATTTCAATCGCTCTTTTCGTTATTTCATGCAATTTTTTTTTGGTTTCATTTTGTTGCTAAAAATTGCTTAAACTGCCCCAACGAATCGAAAACAATCTAGATTGACGAGAGATATTTTTCTCCATTTTTTGCGGAGCCTGAATTCATTTTGACAACCACACGAAACGAGGAAAAAAATGCGAAAGAACGAAAAGATGAAACAAAGAAACCGTCGAGTACAACGTGAGTACCCCATAAGATTGGTTAACTAACGAAAATTGAGCAGCTCTGCACATACAAACGCAAAATGAATCCGATTTACAATGGAAAAAAGGGCTAGCAAAGTGGCCTGGTTATTTAATATCGTTCATAACGTCGTCGTGGTTATTTGTGTGTACCGTTGCTGCTATTTTGCTCACCGAAAAAATCCATTTTGGCCGGATTCGAAGCGAAAAAAGCGACGAGCATCGAAAAAAGCACTGCTTTGAGAAGACAACCGAAATGCATGACGTTTTTTTCAAATTCATGACCATATATGGTGTTACAAAAAAAAAGATTGCCGTTGGACAATGGATGGCATATAAAATGTTAGAAACCAAAAATATGAAAATCATTGGACAATTTAAGTTTCGTTCCATTTTATCACAAATTCAAATGAGGTTTCGGGTGAAAGGAGGCAAGAATAAACAAGTAATACACAGTCAGGGCATTTAAAGATGGGGGTAAAGGGATGAATAGAATTGCACAGATAGAAAGTGTGTGTGAGAGAGAGAGTAAAGAAACGAGATGAGCTATTATCGCTTGATTGTTATGCAAAACAAATTTGTTCGTGTTTTGAATGCAGCAATACCAATTTGTGAGCCTTTTAATCTTTTACCTTACATTTTCGACCGCGTTAGCCGAACCCAGTCAGCCTTATTTGAAGTTGGCTCATGAATTATCTCTCCATTTGAATATTTATTTTTTTGGGCCTGAAAAAAGTGCTTGTTCGTCATAAACTTGTGCTGGTTTGTTTATTTGCATATCAAATGTATTTGTGCATGAGAGAGGTGAGAGCACGAGCAAAAGTATTTGATGTTCATGAGAGTGGCGTTTGTCTATTTGTCGGGTGGAATCAACAAAATTGCGGAAAATAGTTGATAACGGAAATGGGGTTGGTCAGTTGCAAAAAGGTCATCATTTCAAATTTCTTTGAATGGGTATTGAATACTTTCTCTGCCATTTGTCTGTTTGAAATGAATTCCCAAATACTGTTAACGAGAAGGTGTGAAAAATCCAAGCGAAGAGTAAATTGTGCTTCATACGGATTCACAGCCATCATTCATCGTCATCATCATCATCATCATCATCACCACCATCATCATCGTCATCATCAGCAAAATCATTGCAAATAAAGAATAAGTTCACTCCACCACACACTCACAGCGTACAATGATTGGGAAAAGCAATGGTATATGTGTCAATCTGCGCATACATGTTGCGCACTGTTTTTATTCTCCGCATCAAGTGGCATCTCGCTTTTCACCCGTAATATCTCGTTGTTTGATAACAACCGCTCTTTAAATCATTCCCCTTCAACACACGCACAAATACAAATAATATTTTCATTTCACGATAAACCTCTGGTGGTCCTTGTTCGTTCTACACTAATATATGGCACATAATTTGATTAGTGTGCTTTGGTATTCGCTTTTCAATATGTAGATGTATGTGTGTGTCTACAGCATCCAAGCTTCTCTCGTGTAAACACACGATTCTCCCTTTTTTTGCATCACAACTTTATTGCATAAAAAATGACAGTAGGATACAAACATCCAGTCGAGCAACCAGCACAAAAAGTACAATTTCCATTCAATTTTTGAATGGAATTTTGAAATCATTTTTATACCTTTTGTCGTCCATTTCGATGAATAGTGTTTTGCAATTATTTTCATACAGACACACAAATTGAATGAAAATTCATTGAAGATGGTGAATATATCACCATTTGTCCATCTAGTTTTGATAGCATTTTGTCTGGTGCCCGTCAATTCGCTTCCCGACATCATTCGCATTGGTGAGTGTTATCATTTTGTTGTTGTTGTCTATAGCAACGCGCATCACTGTTCTAGCCGTGTCGTGCATACCATTCAAACATGATAAAATAATGATAATCCAATATAAATCATATGTGTTTTGCATTTTAAATCAGGTGGACTATTCCATAATGGTGACATTGATCAAGAGCTCGCATTCCGTTATGCCGTTGAAAAAATCAATTTAGACAAAACGATTTTACCCCGATCAAAATTATCGGCACAAATTGAACGCGTCTCGTCGGATGAAGACAGTTTTCATGCATCCAAACGAGGTAATCAATCAACTTTTATATTTTTTTTTATTTTTAATGTTCAATTTCGATGCAAGCGAATTCAAATTCAATTAATGAATAATGTATGTAAATGTGGTTTTTATTTTTTGCATACTTGATGGATAGTATGTCACTTGTTGCGACAGGGCGTTAGCTCAATTTTTGGACCCTCATCGAATTCCATAAGCCGTCATGTTCAAAGCATTTGTGATACGATGGAAATTCCACACTTAGAAATGCGGTGGGACTATCGCATTCGACGTGAAAACTGTCTCGTTAACTTGTATCCGCATCCCAGCGTATTGTCAAGGGTAAATTGGAAAATTTCATAGCAATGCCTGAACAAATTCTACTTTAATGGAACATTTATTCTTATCAATTCTTAGGCATTATACGATATAGTTGAATTTTGGGGATGGAAGCATTTTACAATCATTTATGAGTCAAATGATAGCCTTTTGCGATTACAAGAGCTTCTTAAAGCACAACGACGCACCGAGTATCCGACCACTATTCGACAACTTCCAGATACCAACGACTATCGGTAGTAGTTAATTGCATTAGAAGCGAACAGTGAACCGTTTTTTATTTATAAAAGAATATTCTTTTTTATTTGCAGGCCTTTGCTGAAACAAATAAAAAATTCCGGCGTGGCGCATATTGTTCTTGCCTGTAGCACGGAGAAAATTTATAATGTGCTCAAACAATCCCAACAAATTGGCATGATGAGCGACTATCATTCTTACTTAATTACATCACTGGTATGCTTTCAACATTCGATCCATTGTTTTTCTTTTTTTTTTTGCTGTTTGAATCCAATTTCCGGTTTCAATACAATGCTTCCATTCATGTGAAACGCTTTATTCTCTTACATAACTTTCCGATTTCATTTTCTAACGATGACTCTTCAGGACTTGCAAACTATCGATCTGGATGAGTTTAAATATTCCGGCACCAATATAACCGCATTTCGTCTTGTCGACCCCGATAATTACAATGTTCGCAAAACGGTTGCTGAATGGTCTCAGTTAGAACTGCGATCCGATAAAAAGCCGAACGAACGTGCTTTTCAGGTACGATGCCAATTCTTTTTCCGTTCCATTATCTTTGTGCAACTAACTTTTTTTTCTGCACGTCTATTCGTGTCGGGTTGTGCTTTTTTGTTTACAGCGAAATGATACAGTTATAAAATCTGAAACTGCGTTAATTTACGATGCAGTTCATTTGTTCGCCAAAGCTCTGCATGACTTGGATACGAGTCAACAAATTGATATTCAACCGCTTTCATGCGACGGACAAGATACTTGGCCGCACGGATACAGTTTAATCAACTACATGAAAATCGTATGTATTTTATCATAATTTTTTTTATGTTTTTAGAGCCAAATCGTAAATAATGTTCGATGAAATTGTTTCAGGTTGAAATGAAAGGTTTAACAAATTTAATCAAGTTTGACAATCAAGGATTTCGAACGGATTTCCTTTTGGACATCATCGAATTGAGTGCGAATGGTATACAAAAGGGGCAACTAAAGAATTGCTCATTAATTATTATTGATTGTTTTACGATTATTTCAAATTAATTCGATTATTTTCTTTTGTGATTCTCCCCTTAGGTATACGAAAGGTCGGAGATTGGAATTCAACGCAAGGGGTTAATTTTACACGTTCATTCAAAGAGCAGCAACAGGATATGGTGGACAATTTGAAAAATAAAACGTTGGTTGTGACCGCACTCTTGGTGAGTTTTGAGACAGTTTTGTTTGAATGATCTTTATTGAATAACTTTCGATTTAACAGAGTGATCCGTATGTGATGAGAAAAGATTCGGCAGCCAAGCTAACGGGAAATAATCAATTTGAAGGATATGCAATTGACTTGATCCGTGAAATATCGATGATACTTGGATTTAATTTTACATTCCGTTTGGTACCCGACGGACGGTATGGCAGTATAAACAAACTAACTGGCGAATGGGATGGAATGGTACGAGAATTACTCGAACAAAGAGCAGATTTGGCCATCGGAGACTTGACTATCACATATGAACGGGAACAGGTCGTTGATTTTACAATGCCAGTAAGTATTTCTCTTCTCAAGAAACTCATCATTAATATAATATAGATAATATCGCATAATTTTACTTTCAGTTTATGAATCTCGGTATATCAGTACTGTATCGAAAGCCAGTAAAACAACCACCGAATCTTTTTTCATTTTTATCGCCGCTTTCTTTGGGTATACAATTTTTTATTCGTAATTATTTGAGAGCAATATTAAATGGTGTTTTAAATTTCAGACGTTTGGATATACATGGCAACAGCATACCTTGGTGTCTCTGTTTTGCTATTCATTCTTGCTCGATTCACACCATACGAATGGTCCAATAGCCAACATCCGGAAAAATCGGACACACAATTTACACTGATGAATTGTATGTGGTTCGCAATCGGTTCGCTTATGCAGCAGGGATGCGACTTTCTGCCAAAGTATGTGTATACAATTTAAAAAAAAAAAATCGATATCATTCCATTACTTAAGTGATTTTCAGCTTTTAAGTTTTCGTCATTAATTGTTGGCACTGTTTCAATAAAATAAATTTCAGAGCCGTTTCCACACGAATGGTTGCCGGGATGTGGTGGTTTTTTACGCTGATTATGATTTCATCGTATACTGCAAATTTGGCTGCTTTTCTTACTGTTGGTATGTGAAATGCAGTTTTTATGGAAAACATAAAATTGGCAATAATTTGCGCAAATTCAAATAACCACTTTGTTTAATAGAACGAATGGATTCGCCAATTGAAAGCGCCGAAGATCTGGCAAAACAGACGAAAATCAAATATGGTGTACTTAACGGCGGTTCGACGGCGTCATTTTTCCGAAATTCCAATTTCTCAACATATCAACGCATGTGGTCTTTTATGGAGTCATCAAAACCAAGCGTCTTCGCACAAAGCAATACAGAAGGAGTTGAACGAACTACCAAAGGCAAAGGTATTTTTACTTGGTGATACAGACAACATTTTTTATACGCATGTCGTTGATTTTTGGCATTTGAAATTCTAGGAAGTTATGCATTCTTAATGGAATCAACATCGATTGAGTATGTTATTGAACGCAATTGTGAATTAACTCAAATTGGTGGTATGCTCGATTCAAAGGGTTATGGCATCGCAATGAGACAAAGTAAGTTATAGTCGACTGTCGAGTTTTTTGTCTACTTTTCATGCATCAATTTAATTTCAATTTCAAGATTCGCCATATCGAACGATGATGAACAGTGCCGTGTTGAAGCTACAAGAAGAAGGAAGATTACATATTTTAAAGACTCGCTGGTGGAAAGAGAAACGTGGTGGTGGTTCATGTAGAGTAAGTGATTTATTCATTCTATGGTTATAAAAAAATGTTACAAAGTGTCTGTGAATTAAACCAATAATAATTGATTTTTTTTTTAAATTAAAGGACGATACATCCAAATCAAGTTCGACGGCAAATGAGTTGGGTCTGGCAAATGTGGGTGGTGTATTTGTGGTGTTGATGGGTGGTATGGGTGTTGCTTGCGTTATAGCTGTCTGTGAATTTGTATGGAAATCGCGGAAGGTCGCTACCGAAGAGCGTGTCATCCAAATGCAGTGTTACTAAACATCAGTTAACTCGACATTAATAAATACTATTTTATAAACAATCCAAATTTCGCCATGGAATTTTGTTCTTTTCTAAAGCAAACAGGTCTATACACAGATTGTTAAGCAGCATCGAAATAGACATCAGAATAAATGCAGCTTAGACATCATATTAATATTCGATTTAAAACATTTTACAAATGTGTAATGATTAATTTTAAACTAGATAATTATACGTAAATATAAACGTGACGACACGATATCGATCTTAAGTAAACAAAAAACATTTGTGTTTCCTTTCAATCAATACTATTAGCCGTTGGTGGTCTTTTCTGCATGACCATTTGAGTGTCCGTTTGAATGACAGTTGGCATATCCATTTGTATGAACTCCATTTGGAAGTGGTGAAACGGTGCCGTTTAACAACTTTTTCGACGCAACGCCTACCACTGTTTGGGCTGCACTTGCATCATTTGCAACGAAATCCAACAGATCCAGATGCGAGATAACACCGATTGGACGGTCAGCTTCGTCGATAACGGCAACAAATTCATCGGTTTCCAAAATTCGCGATACCAAACCCAAGACGGTGTCTGGTGTTACACGTCTGAACTGCTTGAACAGTGCTCGGTCAATTGTATCGCCAAGTTGAAAGTTCTGGCTCACAACTTTTTTCGTCAAGTGCTTAAGGTTCAAAAAACCTTCCAATTGGCTGCCATTTGAAGAATAAGAAAAAAAATTATTCAAAATTAAACTCGTCTCAAAAAAAAGAAATTTTTAATTACCCGTCACTGTTCACAACCGGTGCACGATCCAATCCATTCGATCTCAAAAACACCAAAGCCTCTTTGCATGTTGCGTTCAATTCAATCGATTTGACATGTGGAACTTTGAGTTCGGACGTTTTGTGATTCCACCACCAATGATTGTGTTCGTTGACAATTTCTTTAAATCCTCTTGCCTCCATCCAATTATCGGTCACAAATTTTGTCATATAGTTTCGAATGCCATCGGGCAAAATAACGACACACTTTTGTCCTTTTTTTAGTTCCTTGGCTGCCTGCATTGCGGCGTAAAGTGCCGAACCGCTACTACCACCCGACAAAATACCTTCTTCACGAATCAAACGACGAATCATACTCAAAGCAACTTGATCATTCGTTTTAACCCAATGGTCGATGTGTTCGCGGTGGCATACATTTGGGATAAAATCATATCCAATACCCTCGACCTATATGGAAGACAATTTATATTTTGAAGCAAATGTTATTGAAAAAAAGGAATTAGACTTAACTGTGAAATCATTACCTCATAAAAAGTCACATCACTTTTATTCAAGTTCTCAGGTAATGCAAGAATGGATCCTTCCGGATCAGCAGCAACAATAATGCAATCTTTGCATTGTTCCTTCAAAATGAGAAAAACATTGACACAATTAGTAGACATTATCATATTTTTTTATCGTGCTTTTGTGTTTACCTTCAATTTGTAGCTGATACCGGTTGCACTACCGCCAGTACCAGTTCCAACAACGCACATATCAACCACGCCATCGCATTGATTCAAAATTTCTTCAGCAGTTCCATCATAATGAGCCAATGGATTGCCGGGATTAGCATATTGATCCAAGATAATTGAGTTTGGTATTTCCTTATTCAATTTTTTTGCCACTTCAATCAAACCGTCCGGATCATCGTGGGCGGCTTCGGTTCGAGTACGAATGATTTGGGCGCCAAGTACTTTCAATGCTGCCACTTTTTCGTCCGACATTTTCTCCGGCATAACAATGATACACTTGTAACCCTTTACAGCAGCTGCCATGGCCAAACCAATTCCAGTATTTCCAGATGTTGGTTCAATGATGGTGCAGCCTGGTGTCAATAGACCCTGCTCTTCGGCATCTTCAACCATACGGAAACCGATACGATCTTTGATCGAACCGCCTGGATTGAAGAATTCCACTTTGACGTCTATGGAAAAATGAATGATGTCAATTCAATAAAATGTCAAATTAATGGATTTATTGTCATTTACAGTGTTTCATATATCGCTATCAGTATCCGTAAGATAACTGAGAGGGATATATTCATCCAGATATGAGTGTCAAAATTGCATTAGACACGCTTACTATCTCCAGGGTCTAATTTGGACAGTGTCATATCTAGCTGAATATATCCCTCTCAGTTATCTTACGGATACTGATAGCGATATATGAAACACTGGTCATTTATTTATACTTACAAACATCGCATTCCAATCCATATGACTTGGGAATTTTATTCAATTTTACGAGCGGTGTACTTCCGATAGCATGTAAAATGTTTGAGTAGACTCTCTTCTCGTTTCCGCTATAAGAGGAATCAAACAAAAAAAAAACGCATGAAAAAGTTCGAACAAAAAATGTATGAAAAAACGTGAATCACATATAATTTTCATTTATGCATAAAATCGCAGGCGATTAAACAAGACAAAAAAAAACTGCAAAAAAATTAAATAATCACGGCTTATCGTTTTTCACTACACGGGCGAGGTGTTGTATTATCGCCTACTTCCACGATAATTAGTCGTATTTTTTTGCATTTGAACGAAAAAATAACGAACGTGACTGTTCGGTTTTTTGCTATATAAATAAGATTCATCGCGAAACATGACATTTGCCCTATTTATTACGCTGTACAAAATGATATTGAATATGTTTATTTTATATTATTGAATTAAATTGGAAGTATGGGCATTCTGAGAGCAAAAATATGTTTTTTGGGCCATTGAATAAATTAATCAAACTACACTGTTGCTACGAAAAAAAAAAATTATGACGTCATTAAAAAAATTCCTCCGTAATCACATCCGTCATTCAAAATGTGATAAAGACGAATAAACTTGTCGAAAGATACTTTTTTTTAAACATTTTCGTCGAAAGTCATAAAAAATCCGTAAATATGTTTACCAGCATCATTTATCATGATCGTCTGGTAATCCCAATAGTGATACATTAGATTTGCTCCTTTTATTCACTCAAATCAGTCCCGTAGTTTGATTTAATTAAAATAAATGTTGAAATATTCGTTCAATTCGTTGAATTCACTCAATATGCAATGTAATGCTGGAAAACAATTTTAGAAAATGGCAAATAGCGAATAAAATACCAAAACCTGATGTTTTGAAAATTTTGTCGACATTTCTTATCATGCACGCCTCAAAAAAATTCCATGCCAAAAAAATACATTTCGATTTTTTCTATATACCGATGAAACCATAAAGAAAAAATCGAAATGTGATTTTTTTCTTTTCAAAAACATGTTATCGCATTATTTAAAAAATAATAATACGTTCAAACTTACTGAGTACGATGAGTGTGCGGTTTCCATGGTTGAAATGAGCATTTTTTGTCGGCACACAACTGCCCGTGTTTATTCATATTCTTCGACATTTTTTTTTTATTGCGTCAGTTTCTGAAATACAATTAAAAAAATTAGATAATTCTTACAACACTGAAATGACGTCTACTACATATAAACGTAAACAAAATTCCCAGTTATTTATTTTCAACAGACGTTGAAATCTCAATCGTCAAAGCAATACTTTTCTCTGCAACGTAAATCTAAATTTAAAATAACTAGTCTGTCGAATCGTATGCACCGTCTCTCAAAAGACTGTATATTCAGTCAAAATGCGGTTGTACGCATGTCATTGAAGGAAACGTCGTATGCTGAAAGCAAACACTTCCAATAAATACAACGTGGATACACTGGAAAGCATTTTTGTATATACATATACACATGCCTATTGTTTATGGTGTCTTTCCTGCGATGGAAAACGAGATAAACAAAAAATTACAAGAACATAAGCCAGTACAATGACCTCTTTTATGCGATTTTAACAGGAGGTTTTAAATGCAAAAAAATATGTCTGGACCACTTTTGTAGACGAATCGATTAATCCATATGAAATTCACATGCAAAAAATGAAAACGTTCAATAAAATATCTTTCCGTCGTTCCGGAATGGCTACAAAACTCAAATTCAACTAAGTGCGCAAATAAAAACATTGATTTATTTGCATCCTTAAGAATGAAAAAATATGTATAACCGGTTCAATGTATATAGTAGCACATAAATAAGTATTAAAATAGCACATGGAATAAGAAAAAGCAATTCAATCCAATTGTGAAAACAACGTGATGATTCAATAGTGTACGACGATAGTTTCATTTTATTTCCAAACTATTGCCACGTTCTTAAAATATAAACACCAAAGAATGTTACATTCCATTGAAAAAGTGTCATACACACACATATTAAACGAAATTAAACTAATCTGTGCCACATGTAACTACTTTCAATAACATTTACCTTGTATGAATGAAAAAATGACGAGTTATATGTAATTCACTTCAATTAAAAATTGCGACGAATAAAATTACACTGAAAAAATTAAAGAAGTCTGAAATATGGTTGTACGTCTGCTTCGGACAACGAATTGTTCTTAAGTGATCTCCCTTCTTCCTATCTATTGCTCTCGACTCGGTATATGCTTGAACGGTTCACGAATATACAACCTCTGCTATATTCCCGTGGTGAAGTATACAACACACATACACACACACCTAAACAAATCGTTAAGCAGCAACTGGTGCGACACACTTATCATTTTTGTTGTTACACGCGTCGAATAGTTTACAATATACGTCTTATATAGTTGTCTGTCATCTCATTCTTATTTACACCATTCTTCTTTAGTCGGTCGGCTTTAAGCCTCAACACACATTCGATGTTCTTATGAGAGCACGTTTTCTTTTAAGTATTTTTAGTTGTCGTTCGGCTGCACATTTCACTGTAAAATGCTTACGTTAGTTTATTTACATTTGCACGACTGATAAGACGTGAACAATAAGTCATCTAATATCGGCCAACATTTTTTTTATCAAAATCTATTGTTATTTAAATAGTAGGCATGACATAGGTCAATGTTATCGTTACACAACAACCAATCATTCACAATGTTTATCTATAAATGATTTTATTTTCAACGAAATTTTCGATTCAAAGTAAACATGTATAAGTTATGAGGAGAAACATGATACATTTTTATTGATATGAATTGGAGAATATTGTTGATGTTTTCTTGATATATTGAATGTAAACGAACCGATAACGTCTCTCTGGAATATATGGAAAAAATTGACTAATGCAAATAATGAAAGAAGAACTCATTTTTGGAATGTGCATAAAGCGATGTGAACACCTTTCAATAGATGGCGCACTTTGAAAGAACAAATGTATCTGTATACACGCACCAATTTTAAATCGAATTTTGGAAAAAGCGTACTTAAAACTGACTTCAATGAAAATATTCATGTTTGAAATGAAAGGGTCAATGGGTTCCAATATCAATTAAATTATTTTTAATATAAATATACTCTTTAGTTGATCAATACTTTGTTCACATTGTTGTTAAAATTCTCTATAAATAGTAATTAAAAATAATTTATGCCGTTTGAAAAGTGGCATTATTTTTGTGTCATTTTGTCCCACTGTCATTTTTGTCCCACTGAGCGTGAATTAAAACCGCTGTAGCTCAAGAGATTACATTTGATTAGAATGATATTGAATATCAAAATTTGTTTACTTTTTATTCTGAAATTCTGTGTTGACTCTTAAATGCTAAACACTTTCTTCATTAAAGACTCTGTTTCATTTTCAATCATCGTCATCGGAGTAGCTGGTCTCGTCGCTTTCATGCGAGTTTCTATCAACTGTAAATTTAAGTTGTTTTTCGTTTGCATACAAAATGCGCCTGGGTACATTGAAATCTATTTTGCTGTTACATGCGATATTTATATGGAGACTGTACATTTGATCGGCCTCTATTCTCTTTTGAACCGCTTTCAGCAAAGATTTGTAGTCATCTTCGGTTACTTTCAAAATAAAATCCCCATATAAACAAAACCAGGTTAAACTATTTCCCAGCTGCACCATTTTAATCAATCCGTTAACAGTAAATTTAGCCGAAGAGTTCTGAATGAATTTAAGTATCAATTTTGATAGTAGTGGTAACTCGGACGTCAAAACAAGCAAATTGGCATCCGTCATTTGTAAAATTTTACCTAACTCTGCAACACGTACTGTCTTCAGATTCATTAAACTATTAATGTCATCTGAACTGATTGATGCAAAATGTATTGAACAATTTTCGAGTGGGATTTTCTCTTTTGAAAATTCATTCATCAGCTTGCTCATCGATTTCTCACAGTTATGAGATGAAATATAGAGCGTCTTTAATTTTTTTAATTTACTCAATTGAAGGAGACCAATATTTCGCTTCTGAAATGAAAAAATACACAATTCCTCCAAGTCCGTTGCCTGCTCTGCGATAGCATTAATATATTCGTCATTGGTAACATCTCGCAAATCCAGATACTTCAGTTGTGGATTGAGACGTAATATATTGGCAAGTGTGTCGGGCAAAAGATTTTCACAATCCAACACGAGGCGCACCAATTTTGGGAAATGTCGAGCCAAAAATTCACAACTTTCGTAATCTAACGAGAAAAAGTCGAAACATTCAAGGTTTGGACAATTTTCAAATACTGCATTCCAATCGCCTTTTTTCTTCTCCCTTCTACACCGACTTATAGATAAATATTTCAATCGCGAAGCCAAGGGAGCGATTTTGTTACAAGAAATTTTGGAATCATATAAATGGAGGTGTTCCAATTTTTTCGAGCAATATTTTGCGATAACATCATATTTAATACCATATGAGGACTCCTCAAAATGGGTCACCAAGTGGTCAAATTTATAGGCGATACGCCGCTTTACGGCATTTTTGTGGAAACCAGTCAAAGCGGTTTTTCTATGGCAACGATGAAACACTTGCTCAGTTATTGGTCCAAACCGTTTGCACACATTCGCAGTGTGGCACAAACTTTCAATATTCAAATAAACGAAAATGGCATGTAAGCAATCATCATTCAATTTTAAAAATGAGCTTGTTTGTTCTGGCGGCTCTGCTGATGTATTGATTATGCTTGAGCACAACCGTTTGGCAGGTCGTTCATCTGAATCTGACATTTGTGATGATCGACCTAGAAATATTGAAACATTTTTCTGTCAAATCAATTCGTGTCATAATTCATTAAATGTGCATTAAAAAAGCAAAATACCTTAACTGTGTAGCCAAAATAATTTAACAACAATAGTCTCTATACTCTTGAGTGGTTCCCCCGACCAAATCTGTTAATAAAAAATAAAATAAAATTATTAGCTTTGTCATACTTGTGTTGCTCAACCATAGCTTCTGAGCAGGGGTCCGAGAGGTTGTATTACCCCCCCCCCCCCCCTGGAGAACAGATTTGGGAATTACCCCCTTAGAAATTTTATTTTTTGAGAAAAATATTCTTTCGATTTGCTAACCATAAGGATTTTCGCGAAAAATGTTAAGACCTTTTTTTTGCTCTTCACTTTCTAAAACTGGAGAAGATATTCAATTTTGCTAGGGTTTTTTGAGGCAAATGCTCTGAGATAGCCCCCCACCCCTAGGAATGAACTATTCAAAAATGCATTTTTGAATTTGTGCGAGACCAAATCGAAAAAGTTAACCCTTTACATTTTTGGAAAATTTTGAAAATAATGTCTGGAGTTGGTTTCGTTTATCAATATAAAAAAAAGTTAAAGATAAGCATTGAGTATGTGTTCAGATTAATCAATAAAATTGGTAAGAGCTTCCTCTAAATGAATATGTCAATATGAAAAAAAGAAATATTTCAGCATTTGATACGCAAAAAAACACTTTCAATATTATTTTGATCACTAATAATAATAATTTAATTAAAAATCAACACTTTCATTCAAAACCATGAACAAAACAGATTGTAAAGTTCGTGACTAAACAGTAAAAAGTATTATGTATACGATCAGTGCAAAATACCACGAACCTTGTTTTCAAATAACACTCATTTCTTCTTCAAAAGACGTAAGATAAATCCTCTTCTATTTACTGAAAACCTAGCTGAAAACCAAACTATAGATCTTAGCTCAGAAGTACAATTCAACTGCGGTGCTTCGTCAACCGATCATCGTAATATATAGCTGAAAAAAATGATAATGAAATGAGCCGACATAGCTTGATTAAGATTATGTTAATTTGATTACACACACAGAAATCTGTGAGTAAATATTTAATGTATTGTTCCATGTATGTATAAAATATAGGAACACTCCGAAATGTGTATTGGTTTACTCCATGCTTCTATCGTTGTAGAGTGATTCGATTTCAGACAAACAAATTCGTTCGAAAATTCTCAAAAAGGCTTGGGTTTTGCCCACTATCAGCCATTTTTTGCATTTTTGATTTAAAAAAAAAATCCCTTGACTTTCATAAAATGAAAAAAACGTGAACATGTTATATAATGATAAGCAGTTTATTACATTGTACAAATCTCTTTTTGGTGCTCGCTCTACTGCATATATCGCCTATTCCATTTCACACTCAATATCAAAACCTAGGGGGAATTATCTATATGTTTAATGTTTATACGGTTTATACGCAAGTATTTTTTTACTGAATATACTACAAATAGATGAAGACATCGCAAGTATGCCGCATATACGCTGCATATTTGCGTATAAACCACATATATACGGAGTTATTTGCAAATATTCTTCCGTATATGCGGTTTATATTCTTATACGCAGCATATTCGTAACTTATTTTATTCGATATTTTCCCCTAGATCAAAACCAAACCAAGATAACAAATGTAAATGTTTTTTGCTCACCGGTTAAAATTTCTGCGGAAAATGAAACATTTAATTTTTTATATCAATACGAATTTTTTATCAAGCAATGTCTTGAGTCTTTTTTATTTAATCGAAACTCTTTATAATTCTTCTCTAATCTTAATCATAGAATAATTATATCCAGATGTCTTATTTAGTTTGCAGAAATTCTCTTCTATCATTTAATTCATTTGTTGAATGGTTGTGCTTTTTGTTGTTGTTTAGTATTTTCATATGCGGTTGTGGAAGCGGTCACGTACTTAAACACTATACTTGCTGTCGCACCATCTCTCTCTTTCGCTCTCTCTCTCCTTCTCTAAAAATCATGTAAACAAAGTGAGATCTCTTTTATTGATATGAATTGGTAAATATTGTTGATGTTTTATTGATATATTTAATGTATACGAACCGATAACGTATGTCTGGAATAAGAAAAAAGAACTCATTTTTGGAATGTGCATGAGGCTTCAAGCGATGTGAACACCTTTCAATAGATGGCGCACTTTGAAAGAACAAATGTATACAGATAGACGCACCAATTTTGAATCGAATTTTGGAAGAATAGTACTTAAAGCTGACTTCAAGAAAAAAAAATATAAACGTTCCAAATGAAAAGGTCAATAGTTCCAATATCAATTAAATTATTTTAATCAAAATAAATATTCAATATACATTCAATAGCTATGCCCTGATCATATAATTTACATACAAAAATATCATCGATTCGAATTTAATATAAATATACTCTTTAGTTGATCAATACTTTGTTCACATTGTTGCTAAAATTCTCTCTAAATAGTAATTAACACTAATTCACGCCGTTTGAAAAGTGGCATTATTTTTGTGTCATATTGTTCCACTGTCATGAGCGTGGTTTGTGAATGCGTCATTCGTTTTAACAGTTTATAATACATTGACAATGTATTCGAAAAAAAAAATTATACCTGTCGTCAGGTCGTCAGGAATCCGAAAAATTAGATTTCAAGTTGATAGCTTGATAGAATTATGCGAATTATGCATGGTACAAACAAACAAAAAAAAACCGAAAACGATTTTGAAGCTTGATGATACATCAAGCAATACCATTGGTACCGTATCTTATAAATAGGTTGATTCGCTGTTGCTATTTGTGCTTCGATTAAGGCTGTTTTTTTGCTCTTTAAACAGGCGATTCCAACCATCGGAAATAGATTCAGTTGGCCGCACTTTGATGTTGAAAATTTTCAGTGCTCTGATGGTAAAGTCGGGTATCAATGCGGTAAAGCAAATCAGTACCGTTTCCACCCAAAATTCGGGAGAATTCAAAAGATTATTGTAAACACGATACAAAGAATATGGACCAGAAAATGGCAACCTGAAAAGAAAACGATATTGATTAGTAATGAAAAATGCATGTATATTATCGATATACGAACGAACCAATTCCAAACTAGTGTTGATAGTATAAATGCAGAAACTGATGCCAAAATGGCCAACATAAATATGAGTGTTTGATAACGTGCAGTGAGCCACAATTTTATTGTGACCACAAACACAACGCTGTGAATAATGAATGCACCAAATGAATCGAGATCATTTGTTTTCATATTATTTTCCGTCCATATTAGGAAGCTGCTGAAATAAATCACAAGCGAATGCCAAACGGCCAATGTAATCCAGGCCAAGAAATATTTCCACGTAATACGTTTGTTGCCCGCGTTCTCTTTGTACAGCGATGGACTTTTCAGCAGCTGCTCTTCATGATAGGGTTTCTCTGTGATTGATAGCAAAAGTATTGGCATCGATGTGTACATCACGTTGTAAAGTGTCATGAATAATGTGTGATAGATGCTTTGCGCAGAATATTCATTATTTATTTGAAAGTAAACCTGAAAAAAGGTAAATGTTTAGTAACGAAAATGTGCTGAAATGTTTTTGATTTTATTATTACCTGCATGAGCATGAAGACCAGATTTTTGTAGAAAAAATACAACACCAATATCGAAAATCGATACGAAAAAAAGTGTCCATGAACTAGAAGAACTCTTTTCAGCATATGAAACTGTGTAAATGCATAATCGGAACAGAGAGCCGCTTGTCGTCCTTCTTTACCAAATATACCGAGGCCAACGTGTGCTTCACGAATCATGGACACATCGTTGGCACCATCACCGATTGCAGCAGTTACTGGTTCACCCGGAAGGGTTTTCATTAATTTAACCACTTCACACTTTTGTAACGGGCTTAATCGGCAACACAATACTGCCTGGCATTTCATAGCCAAATCACGAAAACGCTTGGCACAATGTTTCATCACAAGACTCAAACTCATTCCGTCCAGCAGCAACGAATAAGAACGATATGGATAAAGCTATTTTTTATAAGAACATTCGCAATAACAGAAGAAGGAAATAATTGATTCAAGCCATGTAAAATACCTTGAGTTGCTCATCTAGTAAGTCCATGTGCTGGTGAATTTGAAATTCTTCTTTGCATTCAGTTATGAAAAATGTTTCAGCACTGTCCGGCATGTGACCACATGATTTGGATATATTTAATGCTGTTTCGATTTTATCACCCGTTAAAACCCAAACTATAATGCCCGCATATCGAAGCGATTCAAGTGTGTCTTTGACTTTGTCTTGTAATGCATCTTCCACGGCAGTTGCACCAAGTATTTCTAAATCTGATTTCGAAATGTGAAGAGATTAACATTTGTTAAAATGCCAAAAAAGAACATTTTAACTTTTACCTTTTTCTATTTTGGCTTGTACAGCCTCAACCAATGTTTTGCGATTGGCCAGAGCATTGCTTGCATTTGTAATATCTGCCACGAAAAAAGATCATTAAATATTACATTTGTGATTCAATTGATTTGAAAGGTACTAGACATAACTAACCAATGTTAAACTGATCATATTCTTCGGAAGTTAATTTACGTCGTGCAACGGCTAACGTTCTCAGGCCAATTTTGGCAAAATCATCAATATGTTGCTGCGTTACTTTCAACAACTCGGTTTGTGACTGTGTGGTTTGACACAATGGAAATACATGACTTTCAGCACCTTTTGTGTATAACCAAATATCATCGTTTCCATCTTTAATAATAACACTCATACGCTTGCGATCTGATGTGAATTCAAGTGTGTTTAATCGCTCCACATTACATTCATTGGTTGACAATCCTTTAGTTGGCTGTTTTCAAATCAAATATTTCAGTTAAAGCTTAAATGGGCATGGCACTTAGAACATCTTTACATACCCGTTGACTTTGTAGCTTAACATTCAGAAAGCCACCTTTCTCGCCCATAAATAAATAGCCAACTTTTGCACAACCTTCCACCAATGCTTTTTCGTCTGGGCTGGACGCCTGGTAATCTAATTGTCTGAAAATTAAAAAGTGTGTTTAGCTTTGATAATAATGCATTGGTTTTTATAAAGATATCGAAATTAGAGGTAAATCTTACGCGGTCACACTTTCAATGGAATGCGCTGATAGTCGCATTGATTCCTGTCGTACCAGTAAGCTAGCTTCATTGTATGCGGGTGCTGCATAAAATTCACGTGTATTGGCAATATTGGCCGAGCTTCGATTGAAAATGCTTTTTCGTAGATCATTTTTTCCCGTATCTTGATTCAGTTGACTGTCCGGCACATTCAACGATTGCGTTCGACGATGGCCAAATTTAATACGTTCTTGAGCTGCACCAACTTTTATAGACATTGTTCGTTTATATTCGGGTCGAAATGAAAATGGCTGCTCCACAGTCAGCGGTGATGGTATTTTTGGTGAAAAATCTCGCGGTCCGAATGCAAGATTTTTCGGGTATGCAATTTTTTGCTCTGTACTAAAGCTAATCTTACGAGTTCCACTCGATGTACTTGCCACCCGACGATGCTCACGGCGAACTGAATCAATCGATTGAACAGATAAAAATGTTATGCGTGAAAATAAATTTGAATATATAATAATTATGGTTGACTCACTTTGTACGGTCGGACAATCATCATCAATTGGACTTTCTGGTAAACAAACTTCATTTTGTTTAGTATTTTGTTCAGTTTCCTCTTTTCGTTTGACATCCTCATCAATTTCGACCAATGAACTGGACGATTCAACAATTTCAAATGTGGACTCAACTTCGTCGCTGTTTTTATCCTTCTTTTGTTCCGATTTGGCCGTACTTACTTGTACCGTATGACACAGAGATAGAGTTTGAAAAAAGTTTCGCATATACGGATCATATTGTGGCAATCTCATAGTACTAGTGCCATTTTCTTGTTGTACACCAAAATTTTGGATTTTATACTTTTTGCCGTTGATTGAACACTGTTGCAAAATCATCTCGTTTTTGGTGAGCGTTCCCGTTTTATCGGAAAATAGAATTTTCACCTGAAAATGAAATAAACAAAATCTTAAGCATGTGGGAATAAGCGAAAAAACAATTGTCATACATACCTGACCCAATTCATCGTTCAAATTTGACGTATTCACCAGACACTGCTGGTTCATCTCAACATCGAATAAATTCAAATCCCATTCCAAAAACCATGCACCGAAAAATTTGTGCAATTCAATGGTAACATAGAGTGATATCGGTATTAAATAATTGAATAGAATCAAAAATGATAAATATTGTTTTATATATTTTGCCACCAACATTTCGGAATCCTTTGTTAAATCACCCAAATACACATTATGTACAGACTTTTCTTGATCGTGGTATCTGCAATCAAATTATTTTATCAATGAATCGATATTATCAATAAAAGTGGGCCAGTAAAACTTACATTTCCATGCCAAAGCAGAAGGTAACAAGCGTAAACATTATGATCACGAAAAATATCAAAAATTGATTAATGAAACGTTCACTTGAGCTTGTTTTTGATCGAAACACTTTTCCGTTCAAAGCAAGTTTTGTATTTTGTCCGGTGTAAACGGCACATCCGATCGCCCATTCCGTGTTTTTCATTCGTGATCCACGCAGAAGCAGATGATCAGCTGTTAATGGAAGTGTGCGCTTATGCCGCCGCAATGTATCTGTGAACGTCGGTTCGTGGTGTTGACGCCAAAAAAACGTTGGACCAACTTCTAGTCGCCCATTAAATGTATACAAATCGGCCAAGGCATGTTCACATTCAATTGAACCAATGTTGTGAAGTTTTTCTGCCAAAAAAAACATCAAATTATAACATTGCGTATATATGGCTGAAAATGGAATAAGTTACCAATTGAAACATCGTTTGGAAAACCTTTCGGAACGAAAAGTGTCTTCAAATTAGTTTCACCATCTAAATTGGCCGTCGTAACATAGCATTTTCCGTCTGGATCGCTTGTTTTCAACAATACTAAATCGCATGGGATGTCACAGTCCCGGGACGCTTTTACAAGATCGCCTTGTAAAATATCTTCGCACTTAATATCAATTTCGATCCCATTACGAATGACAGTTGCTGAAAAATTGACAATGAAACGTTGTTGAATGTGTAAACAATATCTTTAATGAAAATTATTTCAAAATACGAGTAAATATTTTGATAAAATAAATACATACCGGGAGATCGATTGACAAGGTTATCGGCTTTGTGACGTAAATAATCTTCATATCCTTGTGTAATTACTGTAACGCTTATGACGAATATCAATGGGATTAATGACGTCCACTTTGACACTGGACTTTCGCCGCATATTTCTAATAGAAAATGGATTTTAATAGGCATTTAAAAATGAATATAAACACAATCATCGCTACAATTGACTATTGCGGCGTAAATTAGCGCTCAATGGTTGTTCTGTTTGAATCGGGTGTTAATCGATATGTGTACATCGAATGTAATTCGTTTCAAATTGATGAACGCTTTTTCGAATTGATTGGCAAACATTCCAATGGAAATTGGTGTTTTGCAAAATGAAATGAAATTCCATGTGTAAAAAATGAAAATGCGGCACTCGTTAGGTGTTTTTTGGCGATCGTCCGTCTCGTTTCTACCGTTAAACATTGAATAAACAATGGATGAATACGATCGTTTTCACACGAAAAAATCGCAGCGATTAAATTTTGCAAAAGTATTTCCGATCAGCTAATATTAAATAAATGGCTATTACAAACAAAACGGCACGGTGTACGTCAGCAATTTGTAAATATACACATGTGATATTTTGATTGTAATGAGTGAGTCAAAGTAACGAAGAACGGCGGAAAAGAGTGCCGCATAGTAGAGAGAGAAAAAAATGCACACAAACAAGATAAGTATGTAAGCGCAGAAATTGCGCATGTATAAAGCCATAGAACAACAATCAAATGTGCCGATTTTTGTTGAACGAACAAATAAATAAACGATATACATTTGAACGAGACGCGCACGCTCACTCATGTCTGTGTTTCCAATGTTACGTTCATGTTAAAAATAGACAGATTTTTGTTGTTGTTGAATGGTTGTGCTTTTTGTTGTTGTTTAGTATTTTGATCTAAATATGCGGTTGTTGAAGCACAAGCCCATATATCGGTCACGTACTTAAGCACTATACTTGCTGTCTCACCATCTCTCTCTCTTTCGCTCTTTCTCCTTCTGTAAAACAAAGTGCGAGCTCATTGTTAAACTTTAATCAAATAAAATATGTGTAATGCTTACAACGAATGACACATCTGACTAAGTCACTTCGTAGCGCGTATATATGTCCAATTATGGGCATTACTCATTTCGTGCATGCTTTCATGCATTGCGTTATCTATTATTTTAAATTCGGTTCTGTTTCGTTTGCTCGGTGTACTCATAATTTTACTAGTGCTGATTATTTTTATTTGCTCTCCATAAATCAAGCTCAAACATTCGTCTGGAATATTTTATGTGATATGAATTTTCGTAAAAAACGGTATTTCGCGAAATTTTACCAAGATGCCAAGAAATTATGCGGAACAACAACTGTAAATCGAAATTGGAATAGACGGATGAAAAAAAAAAATTAACGAATTCATGTTGATCGAAAGGTGTGACTTTTATTTTTATACCGTATGTGATTTCGCAGGAGCAATTTTACACATGCTTTTGAATCTGTATGTAGCACATCGAAGCTAATTTATTTGACATTGAACTCTTTTTTTCATTCTAACTCTCTCGGATACTTAACGAAAACACATAATTTAAATTCTATTTAAATTTCAAGTTTCGATCATTAAATGCATCAAAATGTTAAAATCCACTTAATAATTAGTGTTAATGATTCATTGCCATTTTAAGACACTTCAAGCACGCATATACACACGTACTCGATTCGAACGACGATTTACCTGACTTTTATAATAGTTTTGCATGGATGATTTGTTTTACTTACCGATGATAATTGCAAGAATGGTCATAATTAAAAAATAGAAGTTTGCAATACGTTGAAATTGTTCCCACAGATTCTTTGGTAAAAATGTGATGAGCGTATCTGAAAAGTAAGACGCATACATTCGCATTAGTAGTTCGATTGATGTGAATAGAAAAATGTATACTAACAATTGGTAGATTTAACACGATTATTGGCAATGGGTCGTTTGGTTTTATTCTTTTTGTGGGGCTTCGTACGGAATAAACCCCTTTTGCTTTTGGTCGATGGTGTTGGTGTTGTGATGGACACCGAAGACGATGTTCCTTTTTGTGTTGCATCATTACTATCACAGTTATCAATACTACCTATTCTAATTGTTAATGAATCACTTTCCGTTGATACTCGATTGCCCTATATGTAAGAGAAACAGAACAATACACACATACAATTATTCTTACATTCAATTTCTTTATCGAAAATATTTTGATTGAATTGCACAACTGGTTCTGTCTTGTTTTGCGTTTCAATCGAATCATCTGATTCGGATGAGACGACGTCGCAAAAAAAAACGATTCAGTCAAAGCACCTGTTTTTTTATTGCTCGTTTGCATTGAATCGATACACAGTGAAAAAATTGAATCAATCGCAAAAAAATTTCGAACGTAAACCATTTTTCATATTTGATGAGAGAGAAATTTTTTCGAAATTCCAATTCAAGATGGGATAAATTATGTGAGTCGAGAAATCCAACAAAAATATTACATTGTTTCCAAGAAACAGATAAATGACCGTCTCGAAGAGGTTAAAACGAAATATAAAACAATGAAAAGATTTGCAATGAATTTAAACAGTTGTTTTTTCTGTTAAAATCTTGAGAAATCACAAAAAGACAGACGGGAAAAAATACTGATAATATCATTTTATTGAGTAACACCGATATCGAATTCAAAGAGTTTGATATTTCAAATTATCAGATACAATTTTTTTTATAAGAATTTATTTCGCCGTTTTATATTATTCTTTGTATGACGGTCATACATTTTATCGGTCGAATGTTCACATTAAACCAGTTATCGCATTCTTCCATATAGTTCAATAAACAATCTTTCTTTCGGTCGTAGCTCAAACCCCGAAAAAAAAACATGCCAACAACAAAATTTCAACAGTTCAATTGACGCGTTTCGACAATTATATAAGAACCACAGTAAGCGCCTCAAGATGTTTGTTTCTTTACTTGATCATTTCAACCGAATGTGATTTCATTATTCATGAATGACACAAATGCGCAATTTGAATGAAATGTTTTTTCTTTATTCTTTGGCAGCAAAAGAAGCGGCAAGCAAATAAAATATAAGAATAAATGATGACGCTCATGGAATGTACCTTTCGCCAAAACCACGGTCTAGTATATACCGTTCCGATCGACCAAGACATGATGATCGTTTCATTTCAGGTGCGCCTTTTTTTGTATTGGCTGATGTGTTGTTGATCTCACGACGATATTTGACAATTGTTCATTGTTTCAAAACAAGAGTGTGATTTTAGCTTCACAAAACAACAAATAAATTGAATATTTTTGAATAACAACAAAGCTAACACTAGATAATTTTTTTCTGTACACTTTAAATCGATGATACATGAAAATATTTTTTCCTGCATCAAATCACTTTGTTTCGAAAAAATGCTTTTCACATAAAGAAATGCCCGTTTGAAAATGACACATTTCTAATATTTCACATTCATGGTAGAAATACGAAATCGTTTCATTATACTTCAGACTATAAATATAGAATTGCGGTCGACATTTTTTCTTCCGCGATTTTGAAACTTATTTGGATTGTGATTTTGACTTTTTGCTGCGATTTTCGTCGAAGTTTTACACACTCGGTTTATTCCACGATCAGTATGCGTTAAATGTGTACGAAATACAAATGAAAGTTTTACTCGAACAAGCCGAAAAAATGTAAAAGATCTAAACTGATCGACGATATTCTCAAAACTGAAATTAGTTCTTTGAATCTAACAACATTCACACATACACACACACACACGATGAATGCACATCTACATGTACGCAAGCGGGAGCGGTTTCAAAGTAGACCATGTATTTATGTCTATTTTATATTGGATCGCACGTAGAAAACGTACGGTTTCTCATCGATGCGTTACCAACTCTCGGATTTTTGTGTGGTAAGAAATACCATACACAGTTGTGCTCTCTATGTGTGTGTACACTTGGAAATGAGAAAGAGAACGGTAGCTGTTAACAAGAGTTACGTTTTCTTTTTTTTTTATTCATTTGGATGCGCGATAGCGTATACATTCAGCGTTTAACGCTTCACAGAGAAATAGTTGAAAACACAACAAAAACTTAACTTTACAAAAAAATAATAATATGAATGCCATGCAACTGTTGACTACAATAGATAAAGAGAGAGAAAATAGAGAAAGAGTTGATATTTACGCGGCAATGTTTATTGTTTAATAATTTCAATTGTTTTTGGGAATCTCATTTCACTTTGACGTATATATATGCACATGGGTGTGTTTTTGTATTTGGGAATTTTTTTTGTTGAATGAATTTTCATTCGAATCATTTCGAAGGCTTATCACCGCCTTGTCGAATGTATTTTTATCTAGACTATTTCGATTATATTACCGCTATTAATGGCAATGTCTAGAGTACTTTGGAATCGACATTGTGGAATATTTAACCATTTTATTATGATAAAAATGCCATCATGCAATTTAGTCATAGCTTTTTTGAGAAAAATATTCTTTCGATTTGCTAAGGATTTTCGCGAAAAATGTGAAGACCTTTCTTTTTGCTCTTCACTTTGTAAAAGGGGAGAAAAAATTAAATTTTGCTAGGTTTTTAGGCGAAGAGAAAAATCTTTCAATTTGCTAGGGTTTTTTGAGGCAAATGCTCTGAGACATCCCCCCCAGGAATACACTATTCAAAAATGCATTTAAAAGTCGAAAAAGTTACCCCTTTACATTTATCGAAAATTTTGAAACTACCCCCCCTTGGATCGCCTCCAGAAGCTATGAATTTAGTTGTTATCAACACAACTCAACGATTTACAATCGATATATTTGAACGAGAATTACGTCATATTTTGCAAATAAAAATAAAAGACAATTGGTCCAAAAAGAAATCCAACGGAATCAAATGAATTGTAACTGTATTGAATCGTCTTTGATCACAACGTCGGTTTTTTTTAGTGTTTTGCTTTTTCCATTGCCGAAAAGAATCATTCGCGTGTAAAAAAGAAAAGAAAACTCAATGACTTCGTATAATTTCTTCAGAAGAAGAGCAAAAAACTTTTAATTGATTCTCTTTTATCGAATGAAATTTGTAACATGAACGAGTAAAATGTGTTTTATGATTGTCTTTCGTCACCCACGATTTCACTTGTTACAGATTTTGCATTACGATCACCAGGTGTATTCTTTTGCATTGCTTCATTAAAAAAAACAACAAAGGCCGATGATTTCTTTTTTTCAATAAAATTATTTGCGTAATTCTGATATGGTCACTTAGAACTCAAGAGTTGTCATGCAAAATATTCTCTCTCATTTTTCAGATTTTTTTTCCTGCACAATATGGTGAAATTATTGTAATTTAGCAATTTCGCGTGCACTTACCATATTTGTCGGTGATTTTATACGCAATGTTTCACCATAAACAAAACAATTGCACAGAACGATTTTATTGAAATGAACGAAAATCTTTTCATGCGCAATATCTCCAATCGCTTATCTTATCTACGTTGACTTTTAAATTTCATATGTTAACCCGTACTGTCAACTTTTTCACATGGTTTTTGACGATAGATTGCTTTGCTTTTACATTTTATGCCTCGTATTATTTATTATTTATAATGGGCTATGTTTGGTTGAAACATGGAAATGCAAATATTTGATTGAAACTTGTTGGGTCTTTGTCTGGTTAGAAACTAACTCCTTGATTTATAATAGCTATGAAACACAAATCAATAATGTCACTTCTCGATTACAATTGAGAAAAAAAAACGTTTCCTTAACACGGAACCAATCGATATCATATCATTTTTTTAAATTGTCACTTTTTAGTCCAATATATTTATACTGTTAGTTTGTGCTTTCCTTTCCACGACTCTTTAATAACTCCATAGATCCGCTATGTTATATTTTTTTTTCAGATGAAATGGCCAAAGTCACGAAGACGCTTAAAAAATATTGCCGGTGCTATTGAAAGTTGACACTGACTAGATAGGTGAGGCGATTTCCAGAACAGGCTTGGGCTAGTCATTTTTTGTTATCAATATCAAATAATCTTTATCAATTGATAGCCAAGCTGATTTGATGGCGTTCTTTATCAGTTAACTTTTTTCGCTTTATTCATCGCCAATTGAGTTGGTTTTCAATATTTAAAAAAATTAGCTTTGATGTGGAATGATTTTTATTTAACCCATCCAAACCAAAGGTTCTATATGGAACAATAAAGTTATAATATTATGTTTGTCTGATCGAAGAAGGGTATCTAAAGCTTTATTTTGATACTAATATTGGATAAGTTGGATAAAGAATTATTCAAACATTTGAGACTTCTACCTGCACCCTGAGTAGAAATACAGTTTTATATAACGACTTTTATTTACTAAACATATTTAACTAGGGGAGTCTCTCACTTTTCTCAAGCATGAATATTTCAAGATAAAATCGATATTATCGAATAAGTAAGATTTCAAACGATATTTTCAATAAAAGCCGATAAAAGCAGTTTAGAGCAATATTTGTCGATTTTTGATGGATATTTCAATGCCAACTTAACCTGCTATACTGACTTGTCATGTTGATTAAGTACTAGATTATGTTATTAAAATTTTCTGTCTATTTTTCTCAACAACTAAAAAAATACGATATATTTTATCAAAATTGAAAGTCTAACACAAAATGCCTAGTAAATATGTCCAGCAAAAAATGGCAATTTGTCAAGCATTTTGTGTTAGACTTTCAATTACACAATTGCATTGCTATACATAATAAAGTGAGGTTATATTATTCATATTATTTTTTGACTATCATTTTGATTCAACTATTCGCGAATATTTTGAACACCAATCCCACAAAATTTAAAAGAACTTGAATAAAATATATTTATATTGCAAAAAATATAAAATATTTTGATAAAATATATCGTATTTTTTTAGTTGTTGAGAAAAAAAGACAGAAAATTTTAATAACATAATCTAGTACTTAATCAACATGACAAGTCGGTATAGCAGGTTAAGTTGGCATTGAAATATCCATCAAAAATCGACAAATATTGCTCTAAACTGCTTTTATCGGCTTTTATTGAAAATATCGTTTGAAATCTTACTTATTCGATAATATCGATTTTATCTTGAAATATTCATGCTTGAGAAAAGTGAGAGACTCCCCTAGATATTTAAGAATGCGAGAAAATTTCAACTCTGATGGGGTTTTTCTATCTTATATAATACTCATAAACAGTTAGTGACTTCCGTTTCCTTTGGAGAGCTTATTTATGACATAGCCTTGTATATAAAAGTTGTACATTGACATTTAAAGTGAAATGCCCAGACAATATATTTAGCTGTCGTCATCTGGATATTTCAGCTCATCTGGATGCCGTCAGCAGATGATGCGAAGTGAAAACAATAGAAGTGATTGTTATAGTAATACCAGTATATAACAAGCTTATATACCTATAACAATCACTTCTATTGTTTTCACTTCACATCATCTGCTGACGGCATCCAGATGAGCTGAAATATCCAGATGACGACAGCTAAATATATTGTCTGGAAATGCCTCAACTTTGAATGGTCACACAAAATCTACAAGAAAGGAATTTCCGGAAATATTATGTATTGCCAGTGTATTACATAATTATTTATTGAAAACGATATCAATTAAAACTTGAGAATTTGGGAAGTGGAAGTCAAATTTCAGCCTGAAATAAACATATATATTGCGATTTGATTTAGTTACATAATTTGCATAGCATCAACTTCCCAACGTCAAATGAAAATAAGTCAAATGAACTGTTTTCCAAACTACGTCTATTTTCACAATAATTGAAAGGTACCTAAATATTGGACGTTCGTATTAACGGTTCATTTTGTATTTCATCAATATGAATCTCTCTGGTTCAAGAGCGATTATTTTTACACGCTTGCAAAATATTCTGTTTAAACAAAAAATGTCTTCATTAAAAATGATCGTGAAATCATCACCAGTAAAATATTATTTATAATATCATATTGTAATGTTGCAATTCGAAGCGCAATACACAGAATGAATATACCTATAATGAAGGTTAGTGTGTATGCGTTCAACGGAGAACAGTATATAAGTCCTAGTCCAGATCATTTAAAGTCATGTCTTAACAATGAAGCAGCTAGTAATCTTCATTGTTGGGTTTTTTATCCTACAGGTTGATATCTCTCTTCTTTTCTTAAAAGAAATAAATTAAATTTTATCAAAAATATTCAATTGAAATTATTGTGCATTCGGTGAACATAATATTATTAAAGTGTATCAAGTTCAAAAATTGAAATTAAATTTTACATATATTTTATAAAGTGATGAAAAAAAAATTAAAATTATTTTCTCGTTAACAAGGTTGCAATTGAACCGATCATATGTGGAAGTCCATCTCCACCCGAAAAATCTCCATTAAAATCTCCAATCGGTGGAAGTCGTAAGTTAATTTTATATGTAGTTCATCATATGAAGAGTTTGAAGTTTTTCTTTTCAAGTGTTCAATAAGTAGAAGTGTTCAAAAACATTAAATAAAAATGTGTCCATAGTAAAATACAGCCAACTAGTTGCTCATTGGGAATCTAATACATAATAAAAAAAAAAATCGATGCTTTTCCAAATTCAAACAATTATTTATTTATTTTTTGAAAATGTTAGTACAAGACTAGTTAAAATTTTAAGTAAAAATAAAAAGCAAGTAAGTCATTCTTCAATACATGTTCTTCCCTTCACCAGCTCGAATAAATAATAACTATGAAAAACAGTCACCAGCTCCACCAGCGCCAAGTAAGTCTTCTGGCTAAATTGTGATTTTATGAATGCAATGTCAATACAATTTTAATTTAATAGTTGGCTCTGTAAAACCCGGTGTACCAAATAAACCAGAATCTCGTAAGTAGACTGGTACATTTTATCGTATACAATTATTATACTACAAATAATAGCCCGGTTTGAATATTATTGAAATGCTTCAATATAAAACAAAAATCAAGCTAACATTGATCATTTTCAAAAGAAGTTAAATGCAAAATCCATACTCTTCTTTCAAACTTGATAACGAGTTATATTTAAGACATTTGAAGCCTTTTGATAAATAATAAGTTTGGTTATTAAATTCACCGTAAATATATGTTTATTATTAGTAGCATGAAATATAATTTCATTCCATATAGCTCCCATAATTGAAAAAACAGTACAAAAACCGACTCCCACACAAACACCATCATGCGGAAAACCAGGAGCGCCCCCTCTGAATACGTGTGGAAACCCTCAAAAAGCACCACAATGCGGTGAACGACGTACGACATTTAGCTTTTCATTCCTTGACAAATAATAACTAAAAAAACTTTCTCTCTCTCTCTGTGTGTGTGTATGTGTATCTCCCTCTCCCCCTCTTAACAGCAAGTAATTCTTGTAGTCCAAAATGCGGTGGAAGAAGTAAGACATTTAGTTTTTCATATCTTGACAAATTATAACTAAAAAAAATTCCCTTCTCTTTCTTTATCTCCACTTCCCCCTCTTAACAGCAAGTAATTCTCGTGGTTCAAAATGCAGTCATAAAAAGCCGCCTAGTTGCGGAAAACCAGGATTTCCCCCAAAATGCGATGGCGGACGTACGACATTCAGTTTTTCAT